TCCAGTGGGTCAGAAGTTTACATACACTAAGTTGACTGTGCCTTTAAACAGCTTGGAAAATTCAGGAAAGTGATGTCATGGCTTTAGAAGCTTCTGATAGGCTAATTGACATCATTTGAGTCAATTGGAGGTGTACATGTGGATGTATTTCAAGGCCTACCTTCAAACTCAGTGCCTCTTTGCTTGACATCATGGGAAAATCAAAAAACACCTCAGAATCAAAATTGTCCAAACGCCTGAAGGTACCACGTTCATCTATACAAAAAATAGTATGCAAGTATAAACACCATGGGACCACGCAGCCGTCATACCGCTCAGGAAGGAGACGCGTTCTGTCTCCTAGAGATGAACATACTTTGGTGCGAAAAGTGCAAATCAATCCCATAACAACAGCAAAGGACCTTGTGAAGATGCTGGATGAAACCGGTACAGAAGTATCTATATCCACAGTAAAACAAGTCCTATATCGACATAACCTGAAAGGCCGCTCAGCAAGGAAGAAGCCACTGCTCCAAAAGCGCCATAAAAAAGCCAGACTACGGTTTGCAACTGCACATGGGGACAAAGATCATACTTTTTGGAGAAATGTCCTCTGGTCTGATGAAACAAAAATAGAACTGTTTGGCCATAATGACCATCGTTATGTTTGGAGGAAAAAGGGGAATGCTTGCAAGCCGAAGAACACCATCCCAACCGTGAAGCACGGGGGTGGCAGCATCATGCTGTGGGGTTGCTTTGCTGCAGGAGGGACTGGTGCTCTTCACAAAATAGATGGCATCATGAGGAAGGAAAATTATGTGGATATATTGAAGCAAAATCTCAAGACATCAGTCAGGAAGTTAAAGCTTGGTCGCAAATGGGTCTTCCAAATGGACAATGACCCCAAGCATACTTCCAAAGTTGTGGCAAAATGGCTTAAGGACAACAAAGTCAAGGTATTGGAGTGGTCATCACAAAGCCCTGACCTCAATCCTATAGAAAATGTGTGGGCAGAACTGAAAAAGCATGTGCGAGTAAGGAGGCCTACAACCTGACTCAGTTACACCAGCTCTGTCAGGAGGAATGGGCCAAAATTCACCCAACTTATTGTGGGAAGCTTGTGGAAGGCTACCTGAAACGTTTGACCCAAGTTAAACAATGTAAAGGCAATGCTACCAAATACTAATTGAGTGTATGTAAACTTCTGACCCACTGGGAATGTGATGAAAGAAATAAAAGCTGAAAGAAATCCTTCTCTCTACTATTATTCTGACATTTCACATTCTTAAAATAAAGTGGTGATCCTAACTGACCTAAGACAGGGAATTTTTACTAGGATTAAATGTCAGGAATTTTTATAAACTGAGTTGAAATGTATTTGGCTAAGGGGTATCTAAACTTCCAACTTCAACTGTATGTGTCCATTAACTTGTCCAGTGATTTTTTTTGTCGACATTTAGAAAGTTCACATAGAAAATAGATGCAACAATTGCCTGCTACAGTGCGTTTCATTTAAACTGTCTAGTGTCGATAAAAACAGCTGAACGTAATGACATCACACAAACAAAAACAACTTTTTTTGCAAAAACCTAGTGTCTAATAAAAATGAAGTGGTTGAAGTGTTTCCATAATCCATTTAGGCAGTTTGCACATTAATAAATTGGCGACAGCCTGTATGCCCTCCCACCTATCTGTTTAATGTCTCAGGTAGCCCACAAAAGTCAGCATGGATAGAATGCAAGAGTAAACTAATATTTGCCATATTCTAATAATTCTCATGTACCAAATTAGCCTATTGCCACGGTCCGCGCTAAGGTGAGACATGTACTCCTGTAGATCTGAAATAATTGGATGGTGAAACTTGCATCCAGCCAACCAGAAAAGCAAGGCGAAGCAATTCAGGCATTCTTGAAAGTCAAGACAATCCTTGTCCTGCAAAGAAACATTCTTTTCATAGTTGAAAAATAGATTTAGCAAGCAGTAGGCATTGTGGAGTGGAGCTTTATTCAGTGCCTTCTGAAAATATTCATACCTACCCCTTGACTTATTCCACATTTTGTTGAATTACAGCCTGAATTAAAAATGGATTAAACAGATTTTTTCTCTCTCACACACAATACCCATAATCACAAAGTGGAAAAATGTTTTTTGAAATATTTGCACATTTATTGAAAATGAAATACAGAAATATCTCATTTACATAAGTATTCACACCCCTGAGTCAATACATATTGGAATCACCTTTGGCAGCGATTACAGCTGGGAGTCTTTCTGGGTAAATGTCTAAGAGCTTTGCACACCTGGATTGTACAATATTTGCCCATTATTATTTTCAAAATTCTTCAAGCTCTGTCAAATTGGTTGTTGATCATTGCTAGACAATCATTTTCAAGTCTTGCCATAGATTTTCAAGCAGATTTAAGTCAAAACTGTAACCCGGCCACTCAGGAACATTCACTGTCTTTTTGTTAAGCAACTCCAGTGTAGATTTGGCCTTGTGTTTTAGGTTATTGTCCTGCTGAAAGGTGAATTCATCTCCCAGTGTCTAGCGGAAGCAGACCGAACCAGGTTTTACTCTAGGATTTTGCCTGTGCTTAGCTCCATTCCGTTTCTTACTTATCTTGAAAAAAACTCCCCAGTCTTTAACGATTACAAGCATACCCATAACATGATGCACCACAACTACGCTTGAAAATATGGAGCGTGGTACTCAGTAATGTGTTGTATTGGATTTTCCCCAAACATAACACCTGTATTCAGGACAAAAGTAAATTTTTTGCAGTATTACTTTAGTGCCTTGTTGCAAACAGGATGCATGTTTTGGAATATTATTTATTCTGTACAGGCTTCCTTCTTTTCACTCTGACAATTAGGTTAGTATTGTAGAGGAACTACAATGTTGTTGATCCATCCTCAGTTTTCTCCTATCACAGCCATTAAACTCTGTAACTGTTTTAAAGTCACCATTGGCCTCATGTTGAAATCCCTGAGCGGTTTCCTTCCTCTCCGGCAACTGAGTTAGGAAGGACGCCTGTATCTTTGTAGTGACTTGGTGTATTGATACGCCAATATAAAGTGTAATGAATAACTTCACCATGCTCAAAGGGATATTCAATGTCAGATCTTTTTATTTATACCCATGTAACAATAGGTGCCCTTCTTTGCGAGGTTATGGTTTAATCTATGTTTGAAATGTACTACTCGACTGAGGGACCTTACAGATAATTTTATGTGTGGGGTACAGATATGAGCTAGTCATTCAAAATCATGTTAAACACTATTATTGAACACAGAGTGAGTCCATGCAACTTATTATGTGAATTCTTACTCCTGAACTTATTTAGGTTTGCCATAACAAAGGGGTAGGATTACATATTGACTCAAGACATTTCAGTTTTTATTTTTCATTCATTTATAAACATTTCGAAAACATAATTCCACTTTGACATTATACATTTACATTTTAGTGGTTTAACAGACACTCTCATCCAGAGCGACTTACAGTTAGTGAGTGCATACCTTTTTCTTTTTCTTTTTTTTCATACTGGCCCCCCGTGGGAATCGAACCCACAACCCTGGTGTTGCGAGCGCCATGCTCTACCAACTGAGCTACATGGGGCCCATGGGGTATGGGGTATTGTGTGTAGACCAGTGACAAAAAAAATCAAAATTGAATCCATTTTAAATTCAGGCTGTAACACAACAAAATGTGGAAAAAGTCAAGGGGTGTGATGAATAATTTCTGAAGGCACTGTAGTTATGTGATGATTCTGCAATCATCATTTATTCGAAAAACACTGGTTAGATCATTTGTCGCAATAAACAAAGTTTGACAAAAGAAAAACCCACCCCTGTCGAATGAATAAACATTTGGTTGATCTTTAGAACATTTCTCCTATAGCTGCAGTTTCACGTCGCAATGTTTTTTGCGACATTGCTTTTGCCGAATAAACATCAATGGAAACCTGCCTAACATGCAAATTTTTCTGTATAAAATGGACCATTACTTTAAAACAAAGATCCCACTCTGGAACGTTGATATGCCCATTGAATATATTATGTTCAACAATATATAGAAACATTTGCCTAATCAAAAATTGTACATTTTCCATGTCTATATTTTAAAACATGCATTAATTAATGTCAGAAAATTATTATTGAAATCAAAATACAACTCATATTACAGAGCAAGCGGTAAGACATTATCGAGTCTTAAAGCTGCAATCGATAGCGGTGAAACTGCCATGTCCATTTGCAATATTACAATTACAAAGATGTTACTTTAAACAATTAAGACAGTTTTTTTCCCTCAGATATCATAGCACATCATTGCACGCGCAATAGAAAAGTATAGCATGTACAACAATTTTTTTTTTCAACGATACTGGATGCTAATTTCCTCAAACAAAAACAATAACAAATGCGCTTGGGGCAGCCAAAGGCGCTGTTTCGCCTATTGCGGATCGCAGCTTTAAAGGAGGCCTGGGTAAGGCCAAAATTTCACAGATGTTCCAACTTCAATTAATTATTTCTCAATTATGCTTTAAGATACAAATGTCAAATATATGTCAACAATCCTACCTCCAAAGGACCCTTCTATCGATTAAATTATATGAAAATCCTAAAAATCATGGCCTTGTTTTGTTCTAGTTTCACCCATTAGTTTCTGTTTAATTAAAACAGTTGTTTCTTTACTTAGATATTCTCAAAAACATAAAAAAACTGGTCAGTTCAAGTCATTACTACTCAAATAACCCCAAGTGAGTAGGTCAACGTACTGTATACATGTTGAATTCACTTAGCTACACACTATAAATGGATCAAATAGAAAAATTGATAAACACCATAGAACCCAATAGTCCTACATCCAAAAACATATGAAAGCACAGTCAAAGAGATGCACTACAGTAAACATCGTTTTCCATTGTCACACACACACACAAGGAGTTGCTGGCTCAGATTATTCTTGCAGTGTAAAATGTATAGGCTACTTGTGACTGAGTGTCATTGACATTCCCACCTCATATTCTATTGGACATTATCCTTGTATTCAGTTTCTTAAAAAAGGATATCAGTTTGCACAGCTTGCATTTCTTCTTCTTCTTTTTATTCCTCCCTTTCTTATAGACCCCGTTCCATTTTGGCTCGTCCTCGTCCCCCCCGACCCAGGGTACCCAGGCGCCCCCGTTGCGGTCTGGGTTGGCCCGGGGGTCGTCGTTGGGGAACCTGACAGGGACGGCAGTGCGGTTGTAGTAGGCCAGACGTGCTAGCAGCTTCTTGACCACATCAGGCCTCTGCACCGCCATGTCACTGCGTTCATAGGGGTCTCCTGTGATGTTGAAGAGCCACACAGACTTCCCTGTTCCCTCAATGTTCCGCTCCAGGTTCCACCAGCTGCCTGGGAAGTTGGCCAGTACCTGTGGTGGGACCCAGTCTCCATGGCCCGGGTCCCCTGTTAGCAGTTTCCAGTCCCCCACCCGGATGGCAGACTGGACCGTGGTGTCCCACACATGCTGGGCCTCCTGGCCAGACCCAGACGCCAGGCCAGAGCGCCGGTGGAGTGGGTCAATGTTATGGAGGATTTCCAGGCGTGGGGACTCTTTGCCCTCACTGATGGTTGGCCATACATTGTAGCCATCAAGACCCTCAGTCAGTGACACGTTAACCCCAGCCAGACCCACCAGGGTTGGGTACCAGTCAGTGATGTGCAGGAGGGCCTTGGAAACCCTCCGCTTGTGACGCAGCAGGGGGCTGTGTACGAAGCCCACCCCACGGACCCCTCCCTCCCAGTAGGTTCCCTTACGCCCCCGTAGGGGCCAGTTACTCCCTCCAGTGAACGGCTGGGCACCGTTGTCAGTGGAGAAGATGAGCACACTGTTGCGGTAGTAGCCGTACTTGCGCAGAGCATAGGTGACATTTCGTACAGCCTCGTCTACGATGGAAACCATGGCTGCGTACTTCCTTCTGGCTACGTTCCCCATCCCGCGGTAGGGGTAGATGTAGGCCTTGGGTGACTGCAGGGGCGTGTGTACGGCCTGAAGGGAGAGGAACATGAACAGGGGCTGGTGGGACGGGTCGTGAGTGGACAAGATCTTGCGTACCCTCTGCGTGTAGAGGTGGGTGGAGTACTTGCCTCCCCGGCCCCAGGCCACTGTCTCCCCCTCGTGGAGGTCATAGCCACACAGGCCTGGTCCGTCACAAGAGCCATACGTGTAGTAGTCCACACTGCCCGTCAGAGAGCCAAAGTAGCTGTGAAAGCCTCGGCGCGTGGGCAGACACTCCTTCCTGTAGAAGCCAAGGTGCCATTTGCCCACCATGTGAGTAGCGTACCCCGCTTCCTGCAGCCGCTGTGGGAGCGTGGTCATGTCCAGGGGGAGGCAGTTGGGCTGGCGAGGCCGGATGATGGAATGCTGGAGGCCTGTGTGGATCTGGTATCTGTGTAGAGAGAAATAATGTCAAACAGCTTATCTTATTAATCTTCATTTATTATGTAAAATAAACACATTCAATGCTGGAGCTGATATTCAAATATAGTCATGATGCTGAGCACACTCTTATTGAAGATACACTTTCCTCACAGATAAGTAGGCTGTGCTCTACCAACCATTAAATTACTGTGTGGTTGGCAAAGCTTGTTTTACAGCCTGACTGCAGCTTTCAAGACATAAAAGGCAATGAATTAAGTAAATTAGTCTTTAAGGAAACTCTTCTAAACATAAGCATGTGTTTTCTGCCAGAAGTGTGCTTATATGGAGTGTGCAACAGCTTGTCACCCACCAGGGAAGGAGAAGGGTACTATTGGGATACTTTACAAGGATATGGGTGAGCGAGCAAAGGAATGTTGGAGGAATCAGAAGAACAAGTATATCCCCCTATTGAACTATAGTAAACTCCACGATGGCTGATGTTGAAAAGGTGCTGCGGCCACTAACAGAAACACCAAAACATTCTAGGTAAAAGAAGAGATATATTGAAGTTTTCATCAGTCATGAACATTTACCTATTTATTTTATTGTGTAGTACTTCAGTTACATTGTACCGCACAAAAACACTTGCACCTTGTCCCTATATAACTATTGTCTGGCCACCCAGGTTCTTAGCGTGGTATGATATTTTGGGTGGTCTACACTGCAGTAAGCAGACACACTCCACTTCCTTCAGACAAGCCCCTTCCTCCCACGACCCACGTCAAGTCCGAATGAGCATGTGGTGAGAGAGAGTCCACTGGGAGTTCATGTAATCGGTGACGCAGTGTAGATGTACACACACCAATACAGAACCATTCCATGGCTCTATTCTCTCTCTCCCTTCCTCACAGCTTTAACAGTCAATAGGACGGTCTCTGAATGGGGTGGATGGCTATTAGGCCTTGGCCTTCTGTCCACATCTCTTTCAGGCACATAGTGAGTGTGTCATGTCCTCACTCCTGAGCCTAAAAAACTACTTTATTGCTCCTGTTCATCACCCTCCCCTGTAGGTTGTTCATTACCTGAGAGTTGCTGGGGAGACAACAGCTAATTCAATTCTTCTTAGAAACACTCTGGAGATCCAGACTCTGGGGTGAACTGTTTCTTTGCGAGAGAGATCCCCTAGTGACAGGCTACCAACCAACCCCATCACACACACACACACACACACACAAAGTGCTCTGACGGCCCCACAGCTATTGTTAAGGATGTAGTGCAGCAGCTGTGTGGTATGTCAACATCACCACTCGTGAACAGTCGGTCAAGCAAACGCCTTTACATTGTCCTGATACGACCTCCCAACGTTGGGAACTTTAAGAGATGTTAGGACATATCAACAAGTACAACCTACTCTGAGTACTATGATAGAGGGAATCTTTTTATATTTTTTTATTTAACCTTTATTTAACTTGAGGGAATATAGCCTGTGTGTGCTTCAGACACATGACTTTGAGGAGCATTTCCTGTTGTTCCCTTTCAATTATTTTCCTACTCGGGTGCTCATATGGTTGTGTTTATCCAGTCTTTAGCCCTCAACCATTGTTTCACAATCCTGGCCTCATCCTGCAGCTCTCCACATTGCTCTCAACAGCAGATGTTTCTGCTTATGTACCTTGAGTAGAAACAGAGGTATCTACTACAGCATTTATCTTCCCCAACAGTTTACAGCTCTTTCCTGGTAAGTTATAGTAAAGTAAGTGACTATTTGGCAAATGACAGTATCCCTGACCTCTATTGTAGATGTATTCAATCTCTGTTCAATATCTGTGGGAAAACAAACCAATTTTGTTTAGCTTTGCTGACTCGCCTTCATTTGCTGACAATTCATAACCTTATGAATGATCCTCGGACTCATCTGTTATGACATACTGTCGAAGCCAGCAGTAGTACTTCCAGTAAATGTTGCAATTGTTCTGGATGAGGAGGATCACTATACACATCTGCTCAAGGGACACACCATTAGTGCAAACATTTAACAGTTGTTTTCAGTGCTGAGACATTTCAAAGTACTCTATATGAGTTACAGCATTGCACTGTTCAGTCTTAGGAACTCTGAGGCCCTGAGGGGTACACAAGTTGGCTAATAAAGGAATGCATTGTACCATGCATGCACATATTTATCACCAAATGCACCCAGCATCTTGATCATGAAATGATGCATTATAACGTTATGTAGTTTCTCTATACTTGTAATTACTCACCTTGCTGTACACTGTCATTGCAGATAATGTTGCCAACATAAAACAATAGGTGTTATGTTCAACCTGTGATCAAGAGAACGACTTGCATGCACATGTTCAACAATATCAGTGTCAAAACGTCTGATGCTGATGGTGAAGTGATACTAGGCTTTTATGCTTACCTGCCCGTGATCAACTGACTGCGTGACGGAGTGCAGATAGGTTGAACATAGTAATTCTCCAGCTTCACCCCCTCCGCGGCCAGTTTGTCCAGAGTTGGAGTCAGAATGTCCGGGTTGTGATAACCTATGTCATTGAAGCCTTGGTCATCCGTCAGTATGAATATGATGTGTGGTGGTTGCTTAGGCTCAAACTTAATAGAGGCATCGTTTTGAATGTGCTCCTCCACTTGATTCGGCTTGATCCAGTCCATGGATAAGTAGCCAAAACTTAGCAAACTGACCATTGAGAGGCTGGTAACTGCGTGCATTTTTACAGCTTCAGAATGTTCTTGGACAGAGTCGTTAGGGTACTCGCACTCTAGTCACTGGTTTTTCTTTCTGTATCACACACATTCTTGAAATAATACGAATACACACGCGCGTAATTGATGATCCTAGAATGCAGAGTTGAAACATTTCCGCCACAGATTCTCATTCGTCATCATGACCGTCTTCTGCGCTTACAACGTCCAAGCTTCTCTTCTGTAAACTTGGCCTCTAAACTTTGAAAGCTACTACTGCACATTAGAAAGTTGCATAGTTTCCAGGCACGCTGATAACCATTCCCTAGTCCCCACTAAACACTGGCCGGCCAAGTAGGGTTTGACATTAACAGTAGCCTACATTAGTCTACCTTTTCCACTATCCCTCCTCACAGTGGTTGTTGTAACTCCGCCCGCGTCTCATCACAGAATATGAAACAAGACCCTTCATGACCCACCCTCTGCCTCTGGTACAAGGAAAGCCCGGTGCGCCTCATCTCAAGGAAAGTTGTCTAGACCCTGCATTGAAAAAAAAGCATCCCATAAATGTTTCTTATGCCCCAAGTTTTTTTAAACGAACAGAAATCTAAAATCTCTGATTATGGGTAGAATAACTATATTATTAAAGTTAGAATGGGAGTAGGCCTACAGTGAACATACTACAATTAGGCCTATCTTGTGTTCAAGTATGCCCATATTATTTAAGTAGACTTTCTGCATTTCAAAGGTTCTAAGACAGACCTTATATTTAATGACATGATAATAACTCTAATTCTAATATTTAAAGTTAGAATGGGAGTAGGTAGGCTTCAGTCAACCTACATTTAGGCTTATATTGTGGCTACTGCTGCATTCCAAAGGTTGTAAAATCAGACCATGCCCCTTATAGGGGAGAATCATGAAACAGGACACCTACATTTGAAGTCGGGAAGTTTACATACACTTAGGTTGGAGTCATTAAAACTCGTTTTTCAACCACTCCACACATTTCTTGTTAACAAACTATAGTTTTGGCAAGTCGGTTAGGACATCTACTTTGTGCATGACACAAGTAATTTTTCCAACAATTCTTTACAGACAGATTATTTCACTTATAATTCACTGTATCACAATTCCAGTGGGTCAGAAGTTTACATACATCAAGTTGACTGTGCCTTTAAACAGCTTGGGAAATTCAGGAAAATGATGTCATGGTTTTAGAAGCTTCTGATAGGCTAATTGACATAATTTGAGTCAATTGGATGTGTACCTGTGGTTGTATTTCAAGGACTACCTTCAAACTCAGTGCCTCTTTGATTGACATCATGGGAAAATCAAAAGAAATCAGCCAAGACCTCAGAAAAAAAATTATAGACCTCCACAAGTCTGGTTCATCCTTGGGAGCAACTTCCAAACGCCTGAAGGTACCACGTTCATCTGTACAAACAATAGTACGCAAGTATAAACACCATTGGACCACACAGCCGTCATACCGCTCAGGAAGGAGACGCGTTCTGTATCCTAGAGATTAACGTACTTAGGTGCGAAAACTGCAAATCAATCCCAGAACAACAGCAAAGGACCTTGTGAAGATGCAGGAGGAAACAGGTACAAAAGTATCTATATCCACGGTAAAACAAGTCCTATATCGATATAACCTGAAAGGCCACTGCTCCAAAACCGCCATAAAAAAAAGCCAGACTACGGTTTGCAACTGCACATGGGGACAAAGATCGTACTTTTTGAAGAAATGTCCTCTGGTCTGATGAAACAAAAATAGAACTGTTTGGCCATAATGACCATCGTTATGTTTGGAGGAAAAAGGGGAAGGCTTGCAAGCCGAAGAACACCATTCCAACCGTGAAGCACGGGGGTGGCAGCATCATGCTGCGGAGGTGCTTTGCTGCAGGAGGGACTGGTGCACTTCACAAAATAGATGGCATCATGAGGAAGGACAATTGTGTGGATATATTGAAGCAACATCTCAAGACATCAGTCAGGAAATTAAAGCTTGGTTGCAAATGGGTCTTCCAAATGGACAATGACCCCAAGCATACTTCCAAAGTTGTGGCAAAATGGCTTAAGGACAACAAAGTCAAGGTATTGGAGTGGCCATCACAAAGCCCTGACCTCAATCCTATAGACAATTTATGGAACTGAAAAAGCATGTGCGAGCAAGGAGGCCTACAAACCTGATTCAGTTACACCAGCTCTGTCAAGAGGAATGGGCAAAAATTCACCCAACTTATTGTGGGAAGCTTGTGGAAGGCTACCCGAAACGTTTGACCATTTAAAGGCGATGCAACCAAATACTAATTGAGTGTATGTAAACTTCTGACCCACTGGGAATGTGATGAAATAAATAAAAGCTGAAATATATCATTCTCTCTACTATTATTCTGACGTTTCACATTCTTAAAATAAAGTGGTGATCCTAACTGACCTAAGACGGGGAATTTTTACTAGGATTAAATGTCAGGAATTGTGAAAAACTGAGTTGAAATGTATTTGGCTAAGGTGTATGTAAACTTCCGACTTCAACTGTACCTCATAATCAGTCTATGTGTGCAGTAATCTAGCACTACATGACATATCCCTTTATAGACTTCATGCCCTCAGATAGGGTGTAGCTACAAAGAGAACGTATATATATATATATAAGGTTGATGGAGAATCAGATTTACCTGTCAGCGTCCGAGGCCCCTGCACTTTACTTGTGTGTTCACATGGAACGCTTCATGCTGTCAAATCAAACACACAACCTAACAGTGGTGTAAACTACTTAAGTAAAAATACTTTAAAGTGCTACTTAAGTTGTTTTTGGGGTATCTGTACTTTACTATTTATATTTTTGACAACTTTTACTTTTACTCCACTGCATTCCTGTACAAAATAATGTACTTTTTACTCCATACATTTTACCTGACACCCAAAAGTAAGATTTTGAATGCTTAGCAGGACAGGAAAATGGTCCAATTCACACACTTATAAACAGAACATCCCTGGTCATCACTATTGTCTCTGATCTGGCGGAAAATAGAGGTGGAGGGCAACAGGCAAACGTGTCATGTTCCAAATACTTAATTTGTAAATTATGTCTGAGTGTTGGAGTGTGCTCCTGGCTATCCGTAAATGTAAAATAAAATTGTGCTGTCTGGTTTTCTTAATATAAGGAATTTGATACTTAAGTATTAGTTTAGTAATTGCATTTACTTTTGATACTTAAGTATATTTAAAACCAAATACTTTTAGACTTTTACTCAAGTAGTATTTTACTGGGTGACTTTCACTTGAGTCATTTTCTGTTAAGGTATATACTTGCCTATATTTATTTTTACTCAAGTATGACAATTGGGTACTTTTTCCACCACTGCCTAACAAGCACATCCCTCTTCCCTCTATCCCCCTGGACACGATATTACCTTTAGAGTGCAACTACAGTGTGCCAAAAGTTCATCCCTTTTCACTCACCACAAATCAATGCTTTTGCTGCTTCACTGCTATGCCACCACCAAAAAGTGGTCATAGCACAATGTTTTGTATCAGCGTCAAGAATCCACCAACGTTGCCTGACTAACATCTATGCCTGCAAATGTTTTCTTTATCTACTGTTTTCTTATTTTAATAGGAAGTATGCCTGTGTACCTATAATAACCTTGTTAACCAGCCCCAGATCAGAGGGGGGTCTGCTGCCATGGGGTTAGATCCAGCTCCAGTGTTAGTGTTTAACTTGGCTCAAACTGGATATTTATGGTGCACCTGGGCATTGGGAAACAGACAGTGGTTTTTTTACCGCTCTGTAGCATTCCACCACTGAACATTGCCTTTCTCTCTCCATAGTCCACTGGAGAGGGTAGTGCCTCTGATTATTTACCTCAGTTCACAAGAGCTGTATTCCATAGTTTCGTTACTGAGGTTTTTGAAACGTTCTGTTTGCCTTCTGTCCTTGAAAGTCCTATCCTCCCACACTGAAAAGGAAATAGTTATTTGTAAGGAGACACTGCATTAACAACTTTGAAACTGTACTGCTTTGTGAAGGGGAAAGTTCCAACAAAACAGAGAGTATGAGAGTGAACTCTGTTGATTTTCTATTGAATTGATGGATTAATTGTCCTCGTGGTAGAAGTGTGTATGAAGTCACAGGATATGGTGCAAACTTCCCCAATGCAAAGAGCTGCTTTGAGAGGGGGTGTAGTTGTAACACTCACAGTAAGCAGGGTGTTAGTCTTATTAGACTGCAATAACACCAAACCATACACCGGATTTGTTCAGGCATTAGTAAGGTTTACATGAAACTTTACTTGCCTCTATGTTTATTGACAGAGATTTAATGACATTAGCAGTTCCTCTGTAAACCCTTGTAAGATTTTATTTGTAAGGGGAAAATATTTTCTTTCTTTCTCCTCCCTCCCATCCTTTGGCGCAAAGTAACAGCCAACAGGGGAGTTGTCAATGGGCATTCATTCATTGAACAGGTTACTGATTATGCATGGTTATGCGTTTACTCTCTACTTCTCCTTCACAGGTGTAATTCAATGGTAAAGTTACTGTAGTTGTCTGTGTTGTAGTAATGTGTTTGAAATAACGATAGATTACTATTTAAGATCCAATATCATGTTTACTGAATGGCAGACATTATGCTGCCAATGATAATTAACATTTGAAGAGTTTCCTATATTTAAAGTGGTTGGGCCAAAGGAATGAGTAGTTGGCATTGGTGGAAGGAAAATAGAGGTGGAGGGTAACAGGCAAACGTATCAAGTTTCAATATGAAAAGCACAAGACTATGCCCATGTGGTTAGCGTTCATATTTCTAATGCCTGAACTACTCACTGAAACTCACACATCTGTTCCAACATTATCTGACGGTTTTGTCATGATATACATACAGAGAGTAAATGAGACAATATATTAATGGTGCATTGACAATAATAGCGATGTTTTAGTATGAGAAGATATTGCTAGTCACATGAACCAGAGTTTGAACAGGAAGAGTCTGTTGTTTGGTTGGGCTGATTTAGGCCATA